TCTGAATTATGAAAGAAAATTAAATTCTATCCAGAAAAAAAAGGCATAACATGTATAATGCATTTTAGAAAGCATTGCATCAGAATAAATATGAGATATTGAAAACACATTTGACAATTTCCTTACAACACTTCACTAAAAAAGAAACAAGAAAAAGTGGGGGTGGGGACCCCCAATAATCCCATGAAGGCAGAAGCAGTGATAATAATGAAAATTTGGAAAGTAGAAAGCTAAGTGTCTCTTGTGAGGTTGGGAGTGGGGACTAGTGGTGCCCAAGAGGTGAGTTTATTTGTATTGCAGTACTCCAGAAAAACTCTCAAAACAGGAGGCATCAAACATCTCTCAAGACTGGGTATAGATAGGAGCTAAATATGGGAGAGCTGGTTGAAAATCATTTTAAGACCTGTTCTACTGCAACAGAAGACAGGTGGTTTATTCTCCAGAGTAGTTGAATGTGAGGGACTCTGGACTTGGGGACACCATGCCCAGATGAGAACAAAGGTGCCTGTTTTCATTGTATTTTCTGTGATTAACTGTAAATTAACTGATTTAATGTAATTAAATTGATTAACTGTAAATCTAGATCACAGAGACTTCCAGCTCCCTTCCTTAAGTAACCAGACTTAACTTCCCAGCCCCAGTCATACCCAGCCCCAGTCTTCCAAGCAGGAGAACAGATTCCTCTCCTTGGAAAACCTGCACAAGAGAAAAGGACTATAGATACTGTGGTAGGAGAGATATCCCTATCTCATCAACTAGACCTCTGTTCTATCCCAGTGAAACCCATACTTCACAACCTCAGTCCATGCACACAGAGCATCACATTATTATTTTTTTTTTAGTACTTCCCTGTCAAATATGAACGGTCAGTCAAGAATCACCAGACATTTGAGGAAAACAGATCAATGCAAATAGAAAAAAAGCAAACTGGGAAACACAAAATAGGGAGCAGAAGAACACTTCATAAAAAAATAACCATTCATATACTCACAGATAAGAGATATTGCTTTCTATGAGACAGTAACAGTAGACTATGAAAAAGGAAAATTCAGAGAAAACTTTTGAAAAATAAAAAATGAAAGTAGAAATTTAAAATCCAGCAGGATGGGCTTCCCTGGAGGCGCAGTGGTTGAGAGTCTGCCTGCCAATGCAGGGGACACGGGTTCGAGCGCTGGTCTGGGAAGATCCCACATGCCGCACAGCAACTGGGCCTGTGAGCCAGTTACTGAGCCTGCGCATCTGGAGCCTGTGCTCCGCAACAAGAGAGGCCGCGATAGTGAGAGGCCCACGCACCGCGATGAGGAGTGGCCCCCACTCACCACAACTAGAGAAAGCCCTCGCACAGAAACGAAGACCCAACACGGCCAAAAATAAATTAAAAAAAAAAATCCAGCAGGATAATTGGAACATGGATTTGATGAAATTGCCCAGCATGTAGAGCAGAGATAAGAAGTAGAGGAGAAAAAGTAAGATGAATCCAATTGGCCCAGCAGTGGAAAAAATAGGGGTTTTAGGAAGAACATAGAGAAAATGAAGAGGAAGATATTATCTAAGCTATAATAAAAGGAAATTTCTCAGAGTCAAAGAATGTGACTTCCTAGATTGAAAGAGCACCCAGTACATGAAATGAAAAATTTCAGAACACTAGGTATAGACAGAAGATCCTAAAAGCTTCTTAAGAGACAAAACAAATAACACACAAAGATTGGAAATCCAAACAGCATCACACTTCTTAGCAACCGTGGAAGTGAGATGACAATGGAATAAATGCCTCTAACATTCTGAGACAAAATAATGTCTAACCTAAAATGTTCTGCCTAGGCAAACTACCAAATAGACATAAGGCTAGACCCAAGGATATTTTAAAATTTGCAAGTCTCAAAAAAATTTACTCTCCAACCCCACAGCTACTAGAATTGCTAAAATGAAAAAAATTGCTAATGACAAGGCCTGACGGGATTCAGAGCAACTGATGCTCTCATACTTTGCTGGTAGAAATGCAAAATGGTACAACTGCTTTGAAAACAGTTTGATAGTTTCTTAAGTTAAACATAAACTTAACATAGGACTCAACAGTTTCATTCCTAGGTATTTACCCAAGAAAAATGAAAACATACATCCATGCAAAGACCTGTATGTGGTCTTTATTCATAATCACCCAAACCTGGAAATAGCCCAGAATACGCATCAACCTGTGAATGGATACGGAAATTGTAGACAAAGAATAGATAAAGAATTAATTGTACATGCAATAACTTGGATGCATCTGAAACATATGCTGAGTGAAAATAGCCAGATACAAAAGGTATTTGGACAAATACTGTGTGATTGCATTTATATGCCATTTTAGAAAAGGCAAACCTATAGGAATCAGAAATCAGATCAGTGGTAGCCCCACAGCTGGAAGTGAGGAAGGGAATTGACTAGAAAGGGACACAAGGGAACTTTTTGGAGTGATGAAAATGTTGTCTTTATTGCGGTGGTGATTACATGACTGAATGTGTTTGTCAAAACTCTTTGAACTGTATAGCTAAAAATGGTGAATTTTTCTGTTTGTAAATTAAGCCTCAGTAAATCTGACATAAAAAAACGACTTTATCCTCCATCCCTCCTCTGAGAAAATAATTCAAGGATACACTACATCAAAACTAAGGAGTAAACTGAGAAAGAGGAGGACATGGGATTCAGGAAACAGAGGATCCAATATAGAAAAGAGAAATTCCCAAGATGAGGGTTAAGTTTTATTCCAAGAAATAGCCATGCAAGAGGGAATAGAAAATGCAGCCTTTCTAAAGAAGGAGCTCTAGGAGAGATTTCTCCAAAGGAAACATTGAAATTGATAGAATTGTCTGAAGATGAATTGGTGATAGGCACACAAGAAACAGAACAAACTTTTTTTTTTTTTAAGTTATTAGCTCTGGAGAATTGTAAGAAGTTGTACGAGAAAGGGATTTAATCTTTACGTTCCATTGTCTTAGCTATGAACTATACTTAAACATTTCCATCAAGTAAAAGCCAAAAATTATTTTAAACAAAATTATGAAATAATATTGAGAGCATGGGAGAGAAAGAGAGAGTGTGTGTATGTGTGTGTATGTGTTTTTGTGTGTGTGACTAGAAGATATAACGTCAAATAAAACAGAAGAATGAAAGTGACTGCCTCTGGAGAGCAAGAATTAGGTTTAGGCTGGGGGTGGGGCAGAAAACTTACTTTTACCATAAACACTGTAAAACTATTTAAAATATATACATATGTATATACACATGTATACATATGTACACGTACACATACATATATAGGTTTTTTTAATGTTCATTTAAAAAGTTTAAATTTTTAGAGGTCATTGAAAGGGATCTTTTATCTGAAAATTTCTATTATGTGAAATAACCCTTTCCCCCATAATGCCAGATAAATAAGGCAGCAATAGATTAAAAATTCACAAGAGGAGTCTTTATTTTCTGAGGTAATAGGTAAAAGATGAGTCCCTGAATGAAGACGATTGACTCTCTTCAGTTACTCTGAATAAGGTTTGGAGTAGACTGTTAATACCTTTCAGACTTCATGTCTTCTTTTTAAAAATACCTTTATTTCCTTAGTTATAAAATTAACATGCCATTGTATAAAAATTTTTAGTGTAAATTTACAAAGAATAAAAATAAAACTATCAATAATCTTACCACCCAGAGATGACCTATTTGGACTGATTCATTTCCATCTCCTCCCTTCCACCACTCTCCTCCTTCTTTTCTTCCTCCTCCTCCTTTTCTCCTTTTCCTTCCTTCTTCTTCCTTCTTCTTTTTCTTCATCTTCTTCTTCTCCCTGCCCCCTTCTTTCTTTCTTTTTAATTGAGAATGTGACATGTCTTTTACTAGTGGGTAATCACAGGAGCTGTGGATTTGGTGAGGAAAGACAACAATGGAAAAGATAGAAGAAAACAAATATAAAACAAAGGAGGAGGATTCCCTGGTGGTGCAGTGGTTGAGAGTCTGCCTGCCGATGCAGGGGACATGGGTTCGTGCCCCGGTCTGGGAAGATCCCACGTGCCGCAGAGCGGCTGGGCCTGTGAGCCATGGCTGCTGAGCCTGTGCGTCCGGAGCCTGTGCTCTGCAACGGGAGAGGCCACAACAGTGAGAGGCCCGCATACAGAAGAAAAAAAACCCAAAAAAACAACGGAGGGCAGAGAGAGAAAGAAAGGAGTAAAACAAAATAAAAACTCTGTTTACTTGCTTGAAAACAAAATATACTAAAAAAAAGAGTAGTTGAGTTCAAGCCCTGACTGTCTGGATTCTGAAATGAGCACACCATTTAAGAAGTGAGCCTTTTCCCCCCTGTCTTTTGGGGGCAGTCCTGTATACAGGTCTGCCATGTTATGGGAAAGGAGAAAAAAGTTATTTCTTTACAGAGAACCATGACTGGGAATCACAAACAACAAAGAGGTCCTGGTAAATGAGGTACTTTATGAAACAGTTTTTTCCCCAGGTTCTCCAGATATCATCTTCTAAAAGAGGTAGAAGTTAAAGAAAACAGGGACTTCCCTGGTGGCGCAGTGGTTAAGAATCTGCCTGAAAGTGCAGGGAACATGGGTTCGATCCCTGGTCCGGGAAGATCCCACATGCCGTGGAGCAACTAAGCCTGTGCTCCACAACTACTGAGCCTGCGCTCTAGAGCCCGCGAGCCACAAGTACTGAGCCTGCATGCTACAACGACTGAAGCCTGCATGCCTAGAGCCGGTGCTCCGCAACAAGAGAAGCCACCGCAATGAGAAGCCCACGCACCATAACAAAGAGTAGCCCCCGCTCGCCGCAACTAGAGAAAGTCTGCCTGCATGCAGCACGAAGACCCAACACAGCCAAAAATTAATTAATTAATTAATTTTAAAAAAAAGTTAAAGAAAACAATTTTAAGGTCATAATTAGCAGAGTATCTTACTGACAGGCTGGCGCCATTTACATACATATACTTCTTGTCAGTCCAAAACTTAAATTTTTTTCTGTTCCAGCGTTCCTAGAATTCCATGGGCCTTTGCCATGACAGAAGTATGTGGCATGATTCTGTGCTATATTTGGCTCCTGGTTCTTCTTCTTCACAAGCACAGGTACCTGTCTTATTCCATTAAAAGACTGAAAGTGTTTTGACTGTCTTATGCAAAGGTCATCAAACCTTGTTTCTTCCTTTGCTGTTTCCTTGTTACTTTCCTTCTCTAGTCATTGTGACATTATAATTACTGACATAGGAAAATGTTTGGGTTTTATCAACAAAAGAGTCAGCCTGAGGTAGTACCTACATATTTAGTAATATTCTGAAGGTATTTTGCAGGGAAGGATTAGAGATGGCGATATTCAGCCATGGGCCAACCACGACAATCTAAGTCTAGCCTTGCCTTTCTTTGGAAACAAATCGGAAATGTCACTTTCTATAGAAGGCTAGAAACTCCTCCAAGGGACAGTCTTTGGTCAGATGTTTGGGTGGAAGAAATTATTCTCTGCTTGGAGGAGGCGCATTAAAAAAGAGGTCATTTTGCACACCGTGCACATCTAGCAAGTGTAGTTTACTTCAGATGGTATAGAAAATTGCTGAATAGGGAAGGTGCTTCTTTTGTGCTTTTGCAAGAGATATAAAGGGAAGAAGTTTTTTGCATTAAAAAAAAGGAGCCTAAATAAATAAATTAAAAAAAAAAAAAAAGGAGAGAAGCATAAGAGGAGGCTACTTTCCTACTTTAATGAGGGGAAATTATTTAAGTAAAAAAATAAGCATAGTGTGGAATCTAAAGAGTAATACAAATGAATTTATTTACAAAAGAAAATAATTTATTACAAAATTTATTTATTCACAGACATAGAAAACAAACTTACGGTTACCAAAGGGGAAGTAGAGGGGGGAGGGATAAATTAGGAGTATGGGATTAACAGAGACATACTACTGTATATAAAACAGACAAACAACAAGGATTTACTGTATAGAAGGGAACTATATTCAGTATCTTATAATAACCTATATTGGAAAAGAATCTGAAATATATATGTGTGTATATATATAAATATGTATATAACTGTATCACTTTGCTGTACACCTGAAACTAACACAATATTGTAAATCAACCATTCTTCAACTAAAAAAAAAAAAAGGCATAGTGAAGAAAAAAAAGATCTGATAAAGTTGTGGGTCTGCTATCCATTGTCTTTGGACACTGAAGAGGAATAGGGACACTTTCGTGAATTTTTTATTCTTTCTCCTCACCAGGGAATGGTTGAGGTAAACTACAGTGATGAGCTTTAGGTCCTAAGCAGCAGTTATTTCAGTGCTTTGAAGGTGAAAAGAAGAGTTGATGATTGCTATTCTTGTCACACTTTTAGGCCATATTGTACTTCATTCTCTCTCACTTTGCAACAATATTTATAACTGGATTGCTTAAAACCAGAGGTGGTTTAAAAACACATGTATCTGGGCTTCCCTGGTGGCGCAGTGGTTGAGAGTCCACCTGCCAATGCAGGGGACACGGGTTCATGCCCTGGTCCAGGAAGATCCCACGTGCTGCAGAGCGGCTGGGCCCGTGAGCCATGGCCGCTGAGCCTGCGCGTCCGGAGCCTGTGCTCCACAACGGGAGAGGCCGCAACAGTGAGAGGCCCGCATACCGCAAAAAAAACCCAAAAAAAACCCACATGTATCACTGCTGCTTTCTGGTTTAACTTTGCCTCACAAGACCCTGTAGATTTGAATTTATCCACTCTTCAAAACAAGAAAGAGTTTACCTTATATAGGAAACCTTGGTAGGTTTAGCAAAGTGTAGCAGTGACCAGCTAAATGCAAGTTTTGATGTTGAATTAGTCAAAGTGTTTCTCAAAGTGTGGTCTTTGTAGCACTTTCTGGAATCACCTGGGCTCTTGTTAAAATTCAGATTCCATGTTGTCTTCCTCAAAAAGCTCACAAAATGATGGCGTGGAAAACAGAAGGCAGAGACTTTTGCTCTGGACTTTCCACCATATGGTAAGAAGATTCACCTTAAATCCTGTGTTAAGAAAGGATTGCATCACTGAACTTGCAGGAAGAAAGGAAAATCTCCAAGAGCCCCAAACACACAAACACATGAAAAAGAAAACACAGAAAAAATAATCTGTGGTGTACAATCAGAGGAATGAGTAAGCATCTCTGAAAAAGCATTCCACTGGTTGTAATGCCAGAGCTAAGATAAGGAGACTAAGCCTTAGGTATGTAACAAAGTTGAGCAGCTGATACCAAGACTCCCAGATTAAGCTGTGGATTTTGGAATGGGCTAGAGTGTTCTCAAGTCAGTAGTGCTAACTGGGTCTCAGAAGAAACGAATTTAATTCTTCTCTGGATGAAAGTATATTCAATTTAGGCTCCTGTGTTTTCCCAAAATATTGGAGAGCAGGGCTATTAAGAAAGGTGAGAAGTGGTAGAATCCTCCTGCTTTGAGTTTGGGACCCTTTCCATTCAGTGTTACTTTTTCTCTTTCTTACCTTATTTTCTTCTTTTTTTACATTACAACTGCTACACTCTAGAACTGGTAGTGAACCAGAAATGAAAGAAACCCTGCAGGGACTGAAACCTAGCTTGAAATAATTTCAGTTTCTAAAATTGCATTAAGGTGACCCCAGATTGTTAAAGCCCATAACCACTTGCCAAAAGAGATATCAGATCTCTCTTTGGGAAGATAATATAGGCCTAAATTTAATTCTAAAATTTTTTATATACAATATCTGGCACTCAAGTAAATAACTAATAAGGGGGTACATAAGTATGTAAGGGAATATGATCAAAATTTAAGAGAAACAATAAATAATGGAATAGACCCACTGTGGATCCAGAAAATGGAGGTACCAGATACAGATTTTAAGGTAACTCTGCTGACTGTGTTCCAGATAATTTTAACAGAGAATGAAATGGAAACTCTAGAAGTAAACACATTTTTTTAAATCCCTGAAATTGAGAATTCAGTAATGAGTATGACATCAGGTTGAATCCAGCAGAAGAGAGAATTAATGAATTAGAAGATAATTTGAAGAAAAAAATTTTTTAAAGATAGAAAATAGATGAAATGTTTGGGGACACTGAGGGGATAGCCTGAAGGTTTACCATATAGATAATTAGAGTTCCTTGAGGAGAGGAGAAAGAAAATAAAACAAGTATATTTGAAGTGAAAAAAATTAAAAAATAATAAAATGCAGATTCCTGAGCTCCATCCCAGGTGTACACACTGAAGTTTGAAACTTACCTAACCTTGTGTTGAGTACTTTTTTTTGAGGGTGGGAGGAGCATTTCAAAAATGTTTAAGTAAAGTCTCTGTACTTAAGAATCATATAGTCTGTTTTGGTTTAAAACATTAAAAAAAATTGTTAGAGATATACTTAATGTAAAACTTAGTATTAAAAAAACTTAGTATTTTATAGCTTAAATTTAAGAGATATTAAAGAATGTTTATTATATAATTACTGTCAACCAATTTACAGTGTCATTAATGAGCAAAAAAATTCCCTAGAATCACATATTTAACTTTACTTCTCATTAAATAAGTTATGACAATATATGAGTAATAAACTAACACTAAGCTAAGAGTCAGTATAGGTACTATCTTCTCTCTTGCATAACTCTTACTTTCTCTTAGCCATATTTTCTTAACAGTGAAATGATGCTCTTAGGTCTGCACTGTCCAGCATGGCAGGTGCTAGCCACATGTGGCTAAATTTAATTTAGTGAAAATGAAATAAAATTAAAATTCAGTTCCTCACTTGTACATTTCAAATGCTCAAGAGCCACATGTATATAGCTTATTGGACAGTGCAGTTATAGTCCATTTCCACCATCCTGTTGGACAGTGCTTTAGATGGTCTCTAAGATTTCTGTCCTCTTCAAAGAATCTAATGGTTTTCCTGCTTGTTCTCCCTTTAAGTAAACACTAGATGCCTGAGGTATTTTGGTTTGTTTTCTTCTGATCTTTCTCCCTTTTTGGTCACTGTTCACAGGTCAATACTTCTGCGAAGGCTTTGTAGTCTGATGGGCACTGTATTCTTGCTTCGCTGCTTTACCATGTTTGTGACCTCCCTCTCCGTGCCAGGACAGCACCTACAGTGCACTGGAAAGGTAGCCTACTGTCTTCTTTATCATTCTTTCCTCTTATTCTTGGTGTGTTGATGGCGCCATATACGAACTAAGGCTAAGACTTTGCTTTTAACATTAAAATGTGCTTTTCAGCATTTTCAGTATCTGTAATGAACCTCTAGAAATAATTTGGTAAAAATCTTAAGCCAGAATCTACCTTCCTGTTACTTCTATCCATTGATACTAACTAGTTCAATGCTGTAGAGCTATAGAAAAAAAGTAACTTTCTATTATCATTTTCCCTTTCTCACCATCCTCAACATCTTTAGTTACTCATATGACGTAACTCTGGCCCCTTCACTGTCCTCATCACTCTTTAAAAAGTGTTGCAGTTGGACCATATTCCATTTAAAATGTAGTACCCACTACTCTAAACTTTACTCTTTCTGAGATATATTTAAATAATGGCTAACTTTTGTTTTTGTTTTATACTTTGTTGCTTGTTTTGGTATACTGTAGACATACCTTCTGGTTAAATTGAGAGATGAAAGATTATGCAGATGGGAACAAAAAAAACAGGGTAATGAATTACTGTAAAAAATAAAATGTTTAAAAACCCTGAAGATCACCTGTGCTTTATATATAAAATTGGCTGTTGTGACTCATTAAATTTGGACAAGAGAATTTATTAGCCTACTTTTCGAAGCCTCCATGCTTTAGTTATGTGTTCCCAAATATTCAAATGATGTATTAACACCTTTGTTATTTTAATGTTGTTTGTAAAGTGTAAAACAAAATTAAGTGTCTGTTCTTCTACTGCAATATAAATAGCTGAAATACCTGCAAGGGAAGATTAAGCAGCCAAAGGAGATCAGGAACTAAAAATACAGTCCTGAGCTGCAGAGTGACCAAACTTTCTCCAGGTATAAGGAGACCGACTAGTAAGAAAGGAGGAAGGGTTAATGACATTTAGGATTTAGTGTAAAGGAAATGTTTTATTTTTAAGATAAAAGCTGTTTTTGTTTCTTCTTTTTTTCTTTTCCAAAAAGGGAAAGTACTTCTTTCTAGTTACAGTTATATAAACTTACCGTAAAAATTCAAATTTTGTAGAAATATATAAATTAAAAAGTAAAATCTCACAAAATTCCCACTTCTTTCACCCCACCCCATAAATAATACTGTTAATAGTTGTGTATATACCACATGGACTATTTTTAACCATGCTTACATATTCATACAAGTTTATATAGATAGATACTTTTTAAACAGAAAATAGGATTATATTGCAAACATTGTACTTTAGCTTATATTTCATTTAATAGTATGTTGTTTACTTTCTTCTGAAGAGATATGTATAGCTATACCTCATCCTTTTTAATAGCTGCAGAGTATTCCATTGTACAATTTACCAGTCTCCAAATGATGTACATTTAAGTTATTTTCAAATCTTACTATTTATAAACAATGCTGTCATAAACATCCTTGTACATTTATGGTTTTTCACTTATTTAATTGTCTTAAGATAAATTCCTGGAAGTGGAGTTAGGAAATTAAAGAACATACACACTGAAAATTGTGATACATATTGCTCACATTTTCACTAGGAAAGACTAGTTTTTCACTACTATCACCACTATGTGCATGTCAGTTTTCCCATCACCATGCCAGCACAATTTTTGGAGTCACTGCCATTCTGATTAATGAAAGATGATATCTGAGACTTTTATGGTCTTATATTTTAAATTTAAGTCTTTAATCTGTCGACTGAAATAAAAATGCACAACGTGAGAGCTGTGAGTTTATTTCGAGACTTACTGAGGACTATAGCCCAGGAGACAGCTTCTCAGTTAGCTCTGAGGAACTACGCTGAAGACGTAAGGGGGAAGGTTAGCATATATGTGATCTTGGGGAAGGTGTACGTGTAATCAAGCCACACATCTTGGTAGAAGGTTGCTGCTAGTCGTGAGGAACAAATGTCTTAGTTAATGATTTTAGTGCTTTGCTAAGTATGGGAAGATGCAAGAAATTGGGTTCATAAAATTTTCTCCTGAAAAAATCTAACTATCCTGAAGGCCTTTTCTGTCAGTTTTCACAGAGCATAGAGTGCCTTATTCCTGACTGTGTCCTGAAGTCTTTTCAGGGTATGTTGAAGGTCAGCGACTGCAGTGGCTAATGACTTAATTCTTGTAGAACCAGGTGGCAAGTGACATTCTTTAGTTAGCAAATCTATTGAATTTCTGTGCATGGTGTGAAGGAGGGATAGAACAGTTACCCCCAATTATTGTAGTATGCTAATTGATTAGAAGAGATTTAAGAAGAAATACGTAAGCTTATTATAATGAAAAGAGAATTTCCTGTAGCTGAGGGATTTGATTGTGGATCAGCCACTAAAGAGGAAAGTATATGTGCGTAGGGCTGCAACATGTGCTACAAAAATAAATTAGGGACTTCCCTGGTGGTGCAGTGGTTAAGAATCCGCCTGCCAATGCAAGGGACACAGGTTCAAGCCCTGATCTGGGAAGATCCCACATGCTGCAGAGCAACTAAGTCCGTGCGCCACAACTACTGAGCCCGTGTGCTGCAACTACTGAGCCTGCACACCTAAAGCCCGTGCTCTGCAACAAGAGAAGCCACTGCAATGAGAAGCCCGTGCACCGCAACGAAGAGTAGCTCCCACTCCCTGCAACTAGAGGAAGCCCATGCGCAGCAATGAAGACCCATCACGCCAAAAATAATAAAATAAATAAATTTATAAAAAATAAATAAATAAATTAGATACCATCCCACTATAGTATGGACAGCCCTTTTTCTGTCTCTAATGACTGTTTTTTATTATCAGTTAGTTTTATGTGGACATATTTATTCAAATCTGCCCTAAATACTGTTAATTGCTTTGAATTATAATATAACCTACTTACTGACCTGTATTTGCAGCAGTCATTAAAATTAGATAGTTAAGGTGATATTAACTAGCAATCAAATCCCTTACAGTGAACTCCGTAGGGCATTTTCATTGTAATAAAGTAATTGCTTGAAATCTCACTCCCAGAAGTAGTAGGTTTGGAGACAGAACCAAGAACATGCCTGTTTTTGAAATTAGACAATGGAACCACCTTAAGAAAAGAAACACTTAGAGCAAATTTCTCATCAAAGTGTCTAAATTCATTCTGTTGTGCTGTGTTTCAATTTTTATTTTTCTGAAAGGATATTTGGGACATTTTAAGCTTGGAAAGGATGGGGAGACTTGAGTAATTGGGCAATAATTGCTTTCCTTTTTTTTGTGATACAGTATTTTTTTTTTTAATTTTTACTGGAGTATAGTTGATTTACAGTGTTGTGTAATTATTGCTTTCTTTTGCGTGGCATCACTTGTTTCCTGTCCTTGGCTGAGACATTTTCCTAGCAATCTCTGTTCTTCTCTGCCTGATTTTTTACTTTCACAAGTGTAATATCTCTAACCTTATTCTCATTAGAGGTCATGGAAAGAACCAAACCATGTATATTTTAGTACCTTCCCTTTCCTTTTCTCTAATAATAAATTTCTCTCCCTACCATCAACTGAGGCAGAAAGGGAAAGCCTGGGTAGTGTATAATCAGGTGAGATTTCTAATGAAATAGTGATTCTAATAAGATTGTTTCTTTTGTTCTTTAAGACATAGGGCTTTGGAATTGGATGCCCTGTGTTCACATCCTTATTACGTTACTTACTAGCTGTGTGACCTCTTATTATTACGTTACTTACTAGCTGTGTGACCTCTCTAAAGCCAGTTTCCTCATCTGCACAGTTGAATCAGTTCATAGGATTTTTGTGGAAATTAAATGCAATGACATAAAAGCATATAGCAGCATGCTGCACATAGTAAATGCACATAAAATTGCAGCAGTTTTTTATATTATTATGTGTTAAATGCCTTATTAAAAAAAGTGACCATTGCTCAAACTCTTGCTCAAAATGGATTGCTTTTTTAAGTTTATGCGTGGGAGTTGGGATTAGGTTTGGCTACTAATAACAGGAACTTCGCGGTGGCTATAGTTTAATAAACAAGCAATGATTTATTCTCTCTCATAAGTCTGAAAGTAGGTACTCCATCAAGGTCAAGTGTGATAAATTTATGGAGTCATCAAAAATCCATGATTCTTCTGTCTTTCTGCTCTCCTGTCCTAACACTTGGCTTGCATCCTCAAAGCCCTTTGTGGTCCAAGATGACTGCTAGAGCTTTAGCTATCATGTCTGAGTTGTAGGCTAGAAGAAGAAAAGGTAGAAAAGACTTCCTCCAAGCTGTTGTCTCTTTCGTTTATAAGTAGCATTCCCAGAAATCTTTTACACTTCCACTTACATCTTATTGTACAGAACTTAGTCACGTAGCGACACCTAGCTGCAAGGGAGGGTGGGAAATGCAATGTTTTAGTTGAGTTCATTGCCTCTTCAAATAAATTTTAGATTCTATTACCAGTGAAGAAGGGAGAGTGGATATTGAATGGTAGCCATTGTCGCTGTCATAGCCTGTTTCTTATTGACAAGAACAGCCAAGCAAATACTACTGTATTATAGGGTATAAAACTTGGAAATAGTTTTGTGTTGTAATAACCTTTTCATTATAAAGGAACTCCAAGTAGAGAAGTTTGAATTGCATTGATTTCATTAAATTACCAAAATAGTTCTGAGTACAGCCAAGCTTTGACCACCCATTCTTGGTGTCTGGAATTAATTAGACTGGGAGACTGGTTGCTTTTGCTTAGATCTTATTTCTAAGTCATTCAGCCTTTGAATTTCAATGGGAGTGGTAGGAGCCTCTGCTGCCCTAAGCATTTGAAGCACTAATTCTTAGCTTTCTTTATAGGTATATGGCAGTGTATGGGAGAAATTACACCGGGCCTTTGCCATTTGGAGTGGCTTTGGTATGACCCTAACTGGCGTTCACACTTGTGGAGATTACATGTTCAGTGGCCACACAGTCGTCCTAACTATGCTGAATTTCTTTGTCACTGAATGTAAGTATCTTTAGTGCTTCTATGCATATCAACTGACTAGCTGCAGAGGAGGCTGTGGGAAGGGCATCAAATTCTGTGAAGAATGGGAGAAACAGTCTGATGGAAGAAACATATGACTGAGAAACACTGGAAGAAGTGTGGTTTTAAAATGATCTTTCTGTCCTTTTCCCAGATACACCAAGAAGCTGGAATTTCTTGCACACTTTATCCTGGGTTCTCAACCTCTTTGGAATCTTCTTCATTTTGGCTGCCCATGAACATTATTCCATTGATGTGTTTATTGCCTTTTATATCACAACGAGACTCTTTTTGTACTACCATACTCTAGCCAATACCAGAGCATATCAGCAGAGTAGGAGAGCAAGAATTTGGTTTCCCATGTTTTCTTTTTTTGAATGCAATGTTAATGGTACAGTCCCAAATGAATATTGTTGGCCATTTTCAAAACCAGCAATAATGAAAAGACTAATTGGATGAAGACTGTCTTTGTAATGTGTTCATGATTAAATATACAGTCGTTGTTGAAAGTGAGTAACTTTGCTTTCTCCCCCTAGGTTGTTCCTGGATGTCTTGCTTTTTGGCCTGTATGTTGACAAAGTAAAGTTCCCTGTCCTGAGCAAGGCTGTGATTATAGCAAGCAAGAAAGAATAATTAAGAGTCCTTAGGTATCTGTTTGAACAGAAAACTTAAGTAGATGTCTTCTGCCCCTTCTCTTTAGGCAGACTTAATGTTATGATTGAAGTCAGTCTCTTACCTTTACCTATTGAGCTTAAGCAAATCAACTTAAGCAATTTGCTGGTTGAAAGATTTTTTTTTAAATTTCCAGTAGGACTCTAGTCAAGAAATAATAATAATAATTTTTTAAGCTCCTTATTTTCTTCAAACGAAAAACCCCTACCAAGTGAGCAGTACTTGTTCTTTGAACTAATCTCTGTGTCTTTCTAAAAAACGCAACTCTGGAAAGTGATCCTTTTTACTAACAAATTAATTTTTGCCTTCTGAACCATCCTTAAGAAAAGTATACTGAATATACCAGGATCCCTGAAACAAGAAGAGAATGAAAGGGGCCATACATAAGGTGACAGAGTACAAATATAGTGCTGGTATTTTTCACCAAAATCAACAAAAGGTGCAGTTCCTATTTTGTTCTGAGGGTTCAGTATGATCATCAGTAAGTATGCATGAGGGGAAAATGGCTGCATCCATAAAAATAAAATTGGCTTAATTTTAGTGATGAAAGTACCTGGAATAACTTTGTGCTATGACTATTAGCTAGACAGATGACAGCCCAATTTTATGCTTTTTAATGGTGTTATTTAATGAGCAAAATAATGGAGTGTTTTATCAGATGTTAAAGTTCTGTGTCCTTAAGTAGGGAGGTATGCATGCAAATTTTTCTCTTTCTGAAGTTTATAACAGGTTGCAGGCATTGTGTAACTTTTTGGTTTTTGAAATTTCTCATTCTTGGCCATCAGAACTAAGCCATCTCAGACATATTTGGATATGAAAAGGTTTTGTTGTTTTTTATTTTTAAAACAATTGTGTACATACATTCTTTCTATTTAGTTTTAATTTGGCAGTCAGGAGTGATATAACTTAGTTGCTGTTTACAACACTAGAAATTTAGTACCTTAAGTAATTTGACCTCTGTGATTACATTTGTCACTTTACTTTTAATGATTTTGTACAGTAGTTTTGAGAGTAGGGTGGTTCTAGAATTAGACTTTGAACCCCAGCTGATGAGGTTAGCCACTTGGAATATTAACTGTGTAGCTTTTACATTCTGTTTTAAAACAAGGAGTTAAAAAGGTGCTGGCATATTGAGGTCTAAAATTAGGCCACTTAGCAGAAACCTGCTCCTTAAATGGTGAAATATTTTATTTTTGCACTTTGAGTCATATTCCTACCCCATATAAGCTACGGAGGAGCCTGAATGGATTGGGCAGGAAACAAATATAATGCAAACAAGTTGCAGCTAGTGCTGAGTGATCCCAATTTGGGTGTACTCTGAACATTATTTTTTATTTTTCACTTGAGAAAATGGCACAAGGCAATTTAAGTTTTATTATGCTTTTAAATCTCATACTTTAGAATCTGGTAACATCTTCAATAATTGTTGATTCTTTTACATGCTGGGGATGAAAATGCCAACATTTCATCTAAGGAAATTGCATAATCATGAAGGGTGAAGGATGTTTCCTATGCAGTTAGAGTCTTTGACCCTTGAGGTCAAAAGATATGTAACTCCCATTTTTTTCCAGATGACAGAAGAGGACTGAATTTAGCTAGGGAGGGACTGGCGTTGGCTTTTGGGAAAATGTTTGAGAAAAAATCCATGGCAACATTAAGTCAAGAATGTTGAATAGCTACTTAATGGTAAATTTCCTAACATCAATCTTCTTTCCTTCGTGTGGATTTTATTCTAGAACAAAATAGAAAAAAAAATTGCAACTAACTTTGCAGACTTATTGATACTGAGAGTGCCTAATAGCAGACTGCAATGAGGATTGTAAAATAACTTCCCACACTTACATTTATCATATCTGTTTTGAGGAAAAGGTAAGCTAGATTTATAATTTATTGTTATAACTATTACAGGGCATTGTTTACATATATTAATCATCTCCAGGTCTCTTCCTTGGAAAACTTTGAGACAAAATTCTTTTCCATTTCTTTTTGTAATAACCTATAGTTTTGTTGCTTTTTGTTTTGTCCAGAAATTTCCAGATTTTGTCTTTGTATTTTTTTCTTGTTAAAACCATATTGAAGGTAGGATATACATTTTGGGTGTGAATATGGCTAGGTAGAGAAGCTACATGCCTTAGATCTACATATTTTTTACCTTGTCTACAGTTGGAAACGTGTGAGAGGCTTACATCATTAAACACTGAGATTTCAGTATAGAAGGAACCAAGGTTTTTTGTTTGGGGATGCAAACTGGGGGTTATACTGAAAGTCCTCCATGCAATTTCTGTCTTCCTAGGGGCAGCGTTACCTGTTTTTTTCTTTTTTTCCTTTCTTTTTTTTTTTTTAATCCCATGAAGAGCAGCATTACTGAAGGGTAATTGAAGTTTCTAATCAGGTTTAGAAGAAGGCAAGTTTGCTATTATCACCAGATAATTTGGGAGAAACCTTTTTTGGCTGCAGAATTTTCAACATGCCTATTTTCTCCATAGTTCTCTGTGGCCAGAATTGCTAGAATAAAAATACAACTTCCATATGCTAGATCTATTTATTAGTATCCCTTTAAATCAGAAAGCAATGAGCTTAGCCATGGACCCAGTCAGTTAAATAAGTGTGGACTGTTCACAGGAAGAACCCCATGCTAGAGACCTGCTGATAGTGTAACTCTGACACTGCACATGGCATTCTTCCCTACCCTGTACCTGCCTGAGTGTTGTTACTTAGAATTCTAAAAATCTTATAATTTTGTAAATCATAAGGACAGAGGCATCACATCCTTTTATAGCTGATATGAAACCATGTGTTCTAAGGAAACCTGTTTGGAATGTGTTATTTATATATTCAAAGTCATAATCATAACACTAACCTGCTTTGATGGTATTAGTAAAAAGCAATTTCATCATCAGTTTCATAGTAAACTTTTTTTTAAGGATTCTTGTTCCATAATGTTTGAGAACATTAACCATATTCTTTTTTTAAACTCTCTAATCTAATAAGTTTAATTCTTTGATAGTCTTCTTGTAGACTTAAGTTACCCCTTACTAAAAGTAATTATGGTAATAGTCATTTGTCAGTTCTTTACGGTATTCAGGCATTTGAGACAGGAAAACTCTTTTTTTACGATAGTCCCATGGCTTTCTTAAACAGTATTGGTTTCATTCAGATAGTTTCAGAGCCAACAAAGCATGTCAGCTTTAATGCCATCTTTACTTTGGCAGTTAAGACAGTTTGCATTTGTAAAATGTTTTAATCTGAATTACCCCACACTGCTGTAGAGGAAAATTCTTAATAACACCAAAAGTCAGACTGCTACAGGTGAGCAATGAGAAAGGAAAGAGGTTGAGGGTATTTTCTTTCTCTGTCTTTGAGTAGCTTTGAATGGCTGAAATTACTATGGAAGTAGGTTTTGTTTCCCCTCTCACCTATCCCTCACCCCCAGCAAATGCCACCAATTTCAAGTATCTAAAATATGGCCAGTTATTTTGCATCAAGTTCAATGAAAACATCTGTGAAATCTATAATCCAGCTCCCCAAAAAGTTGGTTTTTTAGAATATGTTCTACCCTAAATTGACCAAAGGATTTTATTCAGTGTACTCCATGTTTAAGCATAAGGGAGCTTTGTGCCTAATATGGAAGGAGAAGGAATACTATGTTAATTTTGTTGTTATTTCAGGTCTGTTTCAATCTGAACTACTGGGTTGTCTGAACTAGCCAAGCAATGTTACCAGTTAGTAATATCATCTTTAAAATGCTTAATTTTAATAATTTTTTATTCAAAGAATCTATGGATTGTTAAGACAGTTGAAGTATTTCTGATATGAAACAAAGGGAGTGGAAACTGGTACTTAATGGGGGAAGCAAAATTAGCTTGGGCTAAAGTGGGCATGTTTTGTTTTAAGAATGCTACCTAAATGTCACCCAATCTGCAGAGATACTAGTATTACTTGAAGATGTGAAAGTTCCTGTGGTAGCCATACCTTGAAGCACAGTGTTGTATATAAGTAAATATCTTGATTCTAAATTAAATCCAGATTTCACTAATATATATTATTTTATATCTTTGTTGTATTAAAATGTTTAAAAACACTAAAAATAAAACATTTGAAAGTTGGATTGTAGTCTCTTATTTAAATGCCTTTCCATTATTAATACAGCTGGTTTATTTTTTATGCAGTGAATTTTTATCATTTGCAAATGATTGGGCCCTGCAACTTTAAATCCTAATGTATACCTGGTCCCTGGCATTTACTAATTCTTGGTTGTCTATTGATAAGCCATTTGCCTTTTCTCCTTTCTCTTCTGTAAACTAGGAGAGAAAGGTAATCTTCATGATGGTATAAGAATAATTATAGATGAAGTCGAGAAGGAGGAAAGGGAAGCAAAGCAAATAGCTGCTTATTCCTGGGCACATTAAAGTTTTTGTTTATTGGTTTTGGGTTTATTTTAATTGTAAATTTTGTAGAAAGATGCCATCATCCTGTCAGGTTAGCTTTGGAGATAATGATGAACAGGAAAAGAAAACAGTTGTTAGGGGTAGCCCAGCAGCCCAGAGCCATGGAATAGTGAGAACACTAAGTATTGTCACAGGGCCCTATGAGTTTATTAATTCATAACTGAATTTGTCTTCGTGATCACTACTAATTGTAGCCTCTCTGGTGCTGGCACCAGCTGGTCTGTCTCGGGAGCTCCGGAAAAGAATAGTCCAAAACAGACTGAGAGGCTGCTTGGTGAAATAGAAAATGTGGTGGATTTAGACTCTGAGGACCTAGGTATGGGTTGCAGCTCTGCTGCTGATTAAATTGGGTCTTTTCTTCCAGCTCCACTTAACCTTATGTGTAAAATGTAGGGGGAAATGCCTACCTCATAAGCTGTGTTAAGGGCCAGATTATGAAAGTACTGTGGCCTTAATGGCTCAGTACCTGGTTTATAATGCTGAAATATTAGTTGAATTTAGGTCAGAAACACAGGGCCTGCACTCCCAGGGAGTTAATAATCTAGCAGGGAAGATGACCTAAAAAATGGAACTGGCAACATTCATTGGCAGAATAGAGCAGTAGTTTTAAAGCCGTCTGGGTGAACATCTTGTGGGGTTGGGGAAGAGAGTTGGAGCTTGTACCATTTTCATCCAGAGTTGGTGTTTTACATGTTTGGCTTTCCTAGTAGGCTTTCCCTTTGAAAACAGGGTTGAGGTTAGGGGAGGTAAATGTTTGGAAACCACTGAGGCAATAGACAAATTCACTCTCTTCATTTAATAGTAGCTTGGGAGAGGAAGGGCTCACTGGGGACTGAGGATGCAAGAAGAATTCACTAAGCATGTGAAACTTGAACCTAGCCCTCCTTGATGGATAAATTTACTAGGCTGTGATGAAAGGCTTAGAGGGCTCTGTGATGTGAAAAAATTGGATTTATTTGTGTATGTGTTAGGGAACTGTTGACAGAATATGTGTTTGATTTTATTTTAAATGGAAGCATTGGGAATGCCTATTGCCAGGGTCTAAATTGTGGGGACAGGATAAGTAATTCTGTAAAACAGAAATTGGTAAAGGGCAGAAGTTTAAGTCTAAAAGAGAGAGGAAAGATGATGGAAAGTACACAGAAGATCACTGGAGATGAAAGGAAGGCTAGCGACCCCAAAATAGTAGGTCAGGGCACCAGGACTGGGCACAGTTTGTAGGAGGCCTTTGTCCCCAGCCGAGGAAGATCAAGACACCAAACAAATGAGCTGCCAACTGCTACTGGCTGGTGCCATATGAATCTAGGATATGATATACCTTGTATCCAAAATTGTCTGTGTTTTTTTTTTTTTTTTTTTTGGCGATACGTGGGCCTCTCACTGTTGTGGCCTCTCCTGTTGCGGAGCACAGGCTCCGGATGCGCAGGCTCAGCGGCCATGGCTCACGGGCCTAGCCGCTCCGCGGCATGTGGGATCTTCCCAGACCGGGGCATGAACCCGTGTCCCCTGCATCGGCAGGCGGACTCTCAACCACTGCGCCACCAGGGAAGCCCCAAAATTGTCTCTGTTATGCTCGTGCACCTAACCTGTTGAAATGCTGACCTGCCAGGCATTAAGTGGAGTGGAAGCTGACTCTGGTGAAGACGTGAGGAGATGCAGTGGTAAGAGAATGCCTCAGAGGAGCTCAGTGATCACCCTCAGCTGTAACTTAGAAAAAGGACAGATGACAGCTATAAGACCTCTGCTGGAGTAGCATGATATTTAAATGCTGTATGTTCTCACCTCACAGAGCTCCCCATGAGAGCCAGAAATACAAAACCACCATGACCTACCTGTTCATATTCCAGCCTTAAGAGCCCTGGATCACACTCTGAAGAAAATACCTGTACGTAATGTTTGTTTTTTTTTTAAAATTAGAGTATAGTTGATTTATACTATTGTGTTAGTTTCAGGTGTACAGCAAAGTGACTCAGTTATACATATACATATATTCATTCTTTTTCAGATTCTTTACCCATATAGGTTTTTACAGAATATTGGTTGGTTATCTGTTCCACATATAGTAGTGTGTGTATGTTAATCGCAAGCTCCCAGTTCATCCCTCCCCTTGATGTTTCCCCTTTGGTAACTATAAGTTTGTTTTCGAAATCTGTGAGTCTGTTTCTCTTTTCTAAATAAGTTAATTTGTATCATTTTTTAAATTGGATTCCACATATGAGTGATATCATATGGTATTTATCATTGTCTGTCTGACTTACTTAGTATGACAATCTGTAGGTCCATCCATGTTGCTGCAAATGGCATTATTTCATTCTTTTTTATGGCTAATATTCCACTGTATATATGTACCACATCTTCTTTATCCATTCCTCCATCAATGGACATTTAGGTTGTCGATGTCTTGGCTACTGTGTAAATAGTGCTGCATTGAACATTGGGGTGCATGTATCTTTTCTAAGTATGGTTTTCTCTGGGTATATTCCCAGGAGTGGGATTGCTGGGTCGTATGGTAGTTCTATTTGTAGTTTTTTAAGGAACCTCTATACTGTTCTCCATAGTGGCTGTATCAATTTACATTCCCACCAACAGTGCAAGAGGGTTCCCTTTTCTCCACACCCTCTTCAGCATTTATTGTTTGTAGACTTTTTGATGATGGCCATTCTGACTGGAGTGAGGTGGTACCTCATTGTAGTTTTCATTTGCATTTCTCTAATAATTAGTGACGTTGAGCATCTTTTCATGTGTTTTTTGGCCACGCGGTATGTTTTCTTTAGAGAAATGTCTATTTAGATCTTCTGCCCATTTTTTGATTGGGTTGTTTGTTATTGTGACATAGAGCTGCTTGAGCTGTTTGTATATATATTTTGGAGATTAAACCCTTGTTGGTCACGTCATTTGCAAATATTTTCTCCCATTCTGTGGGTTGTCTTTTTGTTTTGTTTATGGTTTCCTTTGCTGTGCAAAAGCTTTTACGTTTTATTACGTCCCATTTGTTTATTTTTGTTTTTATTTTCATTACTCTAGAAGATGGATCCAAAAAGATATGCTCTCATTTATGTCAAAGAGTGTTCTGCTTATGTTTTCGTCTAAGAGAGTTTTATGGTGTCTGGCCTTGCATTTATTTCTTTGATCCATTTTGAGTTTATTTTTGTGTATGTTGTTAGAGAATGTTCTAATTTCATTCTTTTATGTGTAGCTGTCCAGTTTTCCCAGCACCACTTATTGAAGAGACTGTCTTTTCTCCATTGTATAGTCTTGCCTCCTTTGTCATAGATTAACTGACCATAAGTGCATGAGTTTATTTCTGGGCTTTCTGTCCTGTTCCATTGATCTATATTTCTGTTTTTGCACCAGTGCCATACTGTTTTGATTACTGTAGCTTTGTAGTATAGTCTGAGGTCAGGGAGCCTACCTAATGGTTTTTTGATACAGACTAATCAGCTGCCTTTAATAAGACGTCAGAGTACATGAAATTTGATCCTATTTTTCCACAAAGACTGATTTTGGAGGCTTAGCTGGAGAGCATTTTGGCAGTAAGGATGCAATTTGAGGACTTCAACATGGTTGAAATCTCACATGCAGACATGTAGAAATGTGATAAGCCTAAATATCTAGGCAAGATTCTGAACTTTCTTCACTATTGATTCCACAGTGGTGCCTGTGATTCTTACTCTCTTTTTTAAAAGTTACTGATTTCAAGTAAATGAATCATGAACATGGTAACAAACTGTACATACTGAAGAGTCTTCTCCCACCCCTGTGCCCCAGCCTTTAGCTCTCCTTCCAAGAGACAATCATTTTTTTTTTTGCGGTACGCGGGCCTCTCACTGTTGTGGCCTCTCCCATTGCGGAGCACAGGCTCCAGACGCGCAGGCTCAGTGGCCATGGCTCACGGGTCTAGCCGCTGGGCGGCATGTGGGATCTTCCCGGACCCGGGTACGAACCCGTGTTCCCTGCATCGGCAGGTGGACTCTCAACCACTGCGCCACCAGGGAAGCCCGAGACAACCATTTTTTTTTTTTTTTTTTTTTTTTTTTTGCAGTATGCGGGCCTCTCACTGTTGTGGCCTCTCCCGCCGCGGAGCACAGGCTCCGGACGCGCAGGCTCAGCGGCCATGGCTCACGGGCCCAGCCGCTCCGCGGCATGTGGGATCTTCCCAAACTGGGGCACGAACCCGCATCCCCTGCATTGGCAGGCGGACTCTCAACCACTGCGCCACCAGGGAAGCCCAAGACAACCATTTTTAACGAGTGTGTTTTTCCAGAGCTATTCTATGCATATACAAATATATTTTTTTAAAGATTATTTTTACATTATTTTACACAAGTTGTAGCGTATACACATATGTGCACATATAAACATGGTTTTACACCTTGATTATTTTGCTTAACATGTGCCAATCCCTTCCCCTCTAGGGACACACCTTAGTTGAATGAGTTGAGTTTATTGCTCATTGCAGTGAGGGAGAACACACACCATGGGGAATTATAGGGCATCTCAGTTGCAGTGTGTTGGAAAGGACTTACCAGATTGGGGTTTGGATTAGTTGGTTTTGGGGGAAAGTTTTAAGGAAGCAGCTCATATTTGCTGTGGATTGGATACTTTCAGGTTGCTGGAGCAATTCTATGATTGCATATTTTAATAAATCTTAATAAGGCAG